TGTCAGTGTGTACTCCGAGGTATTTATTGTTCTCCACACTGTCTACACTGTCGACCCCCTGCATAAAACAGGGTTTACTGGTTTCCTGGTCCTCCTAAAGTCCACAGTCACTTCCTTGGTTTTTGTCACATTGAGCTGCAGATTATTCTGCTCCCACCACGAGACAAAGAGTGAACCACAGCCTGATACTCTGTCTCATCATCCCCACCGATGAATTCACCCTTCACAGAGTTATCAGAAATCATCTGAAGATGGCAGGTCTCAGTGCAGTGGCTGAAGTCTGTGGTGTAAAGGTACCAGGACACAAGAGAAGCATCCATCTGCATTACTATCAGCTTATCACCCAGGAGGGCTGGCCTGATGGTATTGAATGCACTGTAAAAGTCAAAAAGTGTGACCCTCACAGTGCTTGCTGGCTGGTCCAGATCGGCATAAACACAATTGAGAAGTTAGATGATGACATCTGCTGATGTCCGAAGTGGAGCTACTAAGATAAGTGAAGAGGTTCCTAATGTGGCCTGACTATAGATCGGAGCTGGTCGATGATGGAGGCACAGCCCTTGATGAGGCAGGGACTCGCCCCATCTGTCCAGTAGACTTCCCCAAGTGGAGTCTTACTATTTGTCTCTGAACCTGGTTGTGAGTGAAAGTGAAAGGTGGGGGAGAGGTGTCTGTTCTTTCATACTAGATTATGGTGCAGTGAGGAGACGGGAGAAAGTTGCATGGCTGTGGGTTGCAGGCTGACTACAGCTAAGTGAGTAGAAGGGTGAGCATTAACTGCAGTGTCGAATCTGTTGACGATTTGACACTGCTGAATGTAACTGACAAGACAGAGGAAGTAAATTGAACATCACGTCACATGAAAAGAGGGACTGTCAGAGCAGAACAGGAAGTGGCTAACAGAGACCATAACAATGTACTAATATTGCAAAGAAATAAAAAAACAACAACACTTAAACACAAGAAACCAAATACTACAGAAAACTTAAAATACTGTGTTGGAGACACAGGACCATGACAGGAACAGGAGACTACTAAAATAAAACAGGAAGTGACTAAACAAAGAAGCACCTAAGACAGGAATCTAAAGAGCTTGGAAAGGTTTTGGGTTAACCTCGGCCGATTGACAGGGACAGAGATTTAATAACAGATTTAATACAGGGAGGCAAGGAGAATTGAAACCAATGAAATTTGCAAAAGTCTAAAGACAAAATTGAGCAGATATCCATAAAGAACCAAACCAGAAATAAATAAAATTCAAAACTCAAAAACTCAGAACAATTAAACATAAAAGGTAAATACAAAAATTCAAAACTCAGGCAGAAAGATTGGGGCCTGTGGTAATGTAAGGTAACAGAAAGGTCTGATGACTTACTGGAGGCATGTTTTCACATTAATGACAAATTGAATAAAAAATAATAAGATAAAGGTGAGGAATGAGTATGTTGCATTTTTATATTTACAGAAACATAACTCTAACACTTTCAAAAGTATAATCTTATTGACTGAAAGGATGCTTACTGTGACACAATGTGGGCAGAACCTGCAGAGTCATACAGGAAAACAAACAAACAAACAAACAAAAAAGAAAAAAAAAGAAAAAAAGGATGTAAAAATACTTACTTTGCACTGTGTTGTTGACAGCATTGCTGAAGCCACCCAGTTTAGACTCACACCAGTACACGGCTGGTTTGGTTGTAGCATTTTGATCGTGCAGGTGGATCCACTCATTGTTCCCCAGGCAGAACAGTTTGCAAGGTAGCCTGCTTCACTCAGCCTCATCACTCTCCACTCAGAAGGTTTCCCCTCACAGCGCAGTGAGACAGACTCTTCAGAGAAGTGCTGCACTCTGTCAGGAGTCACTTTGACAGTTGCAGTTGCTGAACTAGAATCTTAGAAACATGTAATGTGGGATCAAAACAGCCACTGAGATATTATGAAATTAGGAATCTAAGTGTTTCTTGAAGTAACTGTATTAACAGAAGCTGTATTGTTATGCATCATGGCAATGATATTACATTCACACTTACCTGCAGACCAAACAAATACAGGTTTGCTGTCCGAAGTGAAATGCTCTGGCTGTTGTCTTCCAGCTCTACATGCATATCCTGCCGTCTGTTTCTGTCCATGAACAATGTAGGAATTTTGTGCAGTTCCATTTTTACCACCTGGTAGCAGCTCAAAGTAGTAGCCCTTGCTTGAATTTTTGAAAAAAGCCTGATACCAGTAGAACCTCCATTCTGCAGAGTGATTTCTAACACTGCAGTGTAGAGTCACTGATGCCCCAGGACTCAGCCATGATGAAGACACACTGAGATCAGGTTTGGGTTTATCTTTCAGAAGGAACACATGCATGTCCACGTAAGTAAAGCAAACAATACTCAGCAGTTCTTCAAGATATTTTTGTCATTTTCTTACACAATCTTTAGTAACTATGTTAGTTTTGTGTTCCTTGTCCGTAATACATTGTCAAAGAAACTGCTCAAGTAGCAAAGATGAGTAATCACAGCACGCATAAGTAGTGTTTGTGTTAAAGAAATAAGATTTTGCAGAATTACTGCCTAAACTGGCAGTAATTCTGCAAATAAAATATGGTTGATGGTATTTATGTGATATATATCTATCTGAAGTGATGCAACAGAAACAAAAGAAAAAGCATTCAATCACCTTCAGTTTGTCCGCAAGACAGAAGTGTGTTCAGCACTGAAATAGAAGTTAATACTTATAAAACTTAAAATTAACCTTGCATTTAAAACTTCCTGGTGGTTTACTGATGACAGTATTGTGTGTAATTAACAATGTCACTACTAAGTTAAGTTAGACCTGTGCCAGCTACCCTGCATTAACTAAAAGGTGATCAAAGTGAAGTGGATAAAAATACCATACTGTCTGCGCTCTTAAAGAAACTAATATAAAAATAGACATTGCATAATGTAAATATTCTGTATACTTACAAACCAACCCAGATGCACAGAAGAAAGCATGTCCCATCCTGACATTCAACACTGAAAATGGTGAAAATGTCTCTGTACTTGTGAGAAATGTTTCCACTTTGATGCTCTGATGCATATGAACAAGATAAAAAGAGAAGTGTGGGTGAAAGGAAGCTATATCTCTTATCAGCGTGAGCACACATGCTTTCTGCGGAGTCCTTTTCTCAGGCCACACCATCTCTCCTCCCTTTCCTGTTTTAAATAAAGCTCTCACAACTGCAGTTATATTGAAATTCCCACTTCGTTATGAGGAACCACAAATACTTCAGTTTTGAACATGTCCCCTGTCAACACAATAATGATAAATAGTAACTCATGAATAGTGACTTGACAGCTGCATGAGGGTTTACATTTTATTTCATGTGTCATTTTTGGCTTGGTAATTATTGTGGCTGTTATTAGAATAAGTCATGAGAATAACTTTAAAGGGTTAAACTAATGTTTTCTGCAATTAAACTAATGACATTTTCAGGACATTGTCTGTGTAGAGAAAACATGTTAGAGCAAAATGAATAATATACCGTATTTATGAAATACATTTCTACATAATATATGTAGGAATATGTATGAAACAGTAGTTTTGACTGCTATTTTTAGTCCCTATTTAGGATTACAAAAGATGCAATTTGTACTAAGCTGTTACTGTGATACTGCAGGGTTTAGCAGACGGGTTGCAGTCAAACACTGACTGATAGGTCTTGGAACCATTTCTGCCAAAGGTTAACATAGATTCAATAAATTATAAATGACATAATATCACCCTCTAGTGCCTATCTGCTGTAAACACAGTCCATCATTGTACTGTGCTTTGTGTTATAAGATTGACGTAGGAAATATGGGACAAAGAGCTGTATAGTCGAGTAGAGTGAGTGATTTATTTATGTTTTAGGTTTGTATTTCGGAAATTTCTTCCTATTAAAAATAAGTTTTTCTGGAGGGGGTGGTCTGACTTTTTTTTGTTCCTGTATTATTATTTTTGTGATTTTGATGCTTTAAAAATAAAACTGAATTGAATTGCGTGTAAAGTAAAATATTTCATTGTTTACATTTTTTACAATTTTGATGATTACAGCTTACAGCCTAAAAAAAATACATCTAACAATTACAGACATATAAACTCAAGTCAAGTGGCTTTATTGTCATGTCAACCATATACAGTGGTTCAGTACACAGTGAAACGAGACAGCATTCCTCCAAGACCTTGGTGCTACATAAAACAGTAAATCAATACAGGACTACATAAAGTGCACACTACATTGGATCAATACCAAAATGTTGTTGCCCATCGTTAATGCAAGATGCATAGCAAAGCATGTAGAAAGCAACAAAAAATGACTCAAGAAATCATGCTATATCCTGGCTTGTCCAAGTCAGAAGGCTTTAAACAAAAATCCAGACAGAAAGCAATGGAGAGGTGTGACTGCAGAAAGGAGGGCACTTTCATAACCAAGCTCACTCAGAACAGGGGTACCTCAAGCCCAGGTGTTCCAACATTATATGCAGAGATGAAAGGATAAAGCTGTTCAGTTGGTCTCAAAATTGCGAAAAAAAAAAAAAAAAAAAAAAAAAGTTGCTTGGTTGATTTTTGACCAACCCAGATTGCCAAAATTTTGAGATTTTGAGTCTTTGTTTGAAAATAGTATTTTCCCATTTTCAGTGAAGATCGGAAGAAAAATGGTGCATGAGCAAATTATTAGGTCCAATATAGAGGAAAATTTTTATAGCGGAGAATTTACTCTGATTGGATTTTCTAAACACTCATTTTTCAAAATAATAGAACCCCAGTACTAAATGTCTATTAACTTTAAGCTGTCTCTGTGATTTGATATTCATATTGTATACATGGTCATTTAGTTGAAAGTTACAAAAGATAAATCCTTTACATTTTTACAATTATATTGTAGAGCTATATCATGATAGAACAAAAACACTGCTCAGGCCAAAATAAAAAAAAGATAAAAACCCAAACTATAACTACATACAATTTCCATGAAGAAATGCATTTATTCACACATTTAAATCCATACAGTATTATATCAGTCCTCTTTTAGGTAATGTTCAAAAACTTTCAATACATGCATTTATAGTATTTCTTTGTACCCATAGAGGAACCTATCTTATGTTACACTGCAAAAGCTAACTTTAAATCATGTTTTATTATTAAATGAATACAGATAATATGAACACTAAATGAAAACACCTTGTCTGTACCATATATTATATATATTGTATACTGTATATTATAATGATGATGACTATCACTAAAAAAACTGTACAAAATACTGAACAAGCTACAGACATTTCTGTATAAGAAGCTTGAGGTTGGTTTTACTGCTACAATTCGGTTCAATGACCTGTAAAACAGCCACAAAAAGGACATAGGGATTATCATTTAGTAACAATATTATAAGCTAAAGAGTACAAATAAATCACTAAATATAACAGTCATGTTAGCTTAATTACAGAGGGCACTTCCTAATTTAACTTCAGAATAAACTGCTTCATCAGCTGATGCATGACTCGAGTTTACTGTGACTGGAGAGAATATTATTTAAAAGGCTTAGCTGTAAACTCATAATAAAAAGTAAGTCTTTAACTCACAGGTCAATTAAGTTAGTTCTCAATTGTATCTGAGACAAATACAGAGTATGACATATTAGTGATACAAACTAAAATGTATTCAAGTAAAAAAATAAGTAAAGCAGATTTTCATGTTATTTATTCCAGTCAAATTTTAAGATCATCACTGGAGAGGATGGCAGGCTTTACTTACGCTGGTTGTTCTTGGATGCTCTTTTATTGTGACGGTTGACCTGGGCATACGTTGGACTGTCTTCTAAAAAAGAAATGAGATCTCAGGATGCATTTATGCCGCAGAAAACAATGATATACAGCTGCTGAACTTGTGGACAGCCTTAGAAGTTGACATAAATCGTATGAATTTCATAATATTCTTTACTATTATTATTATTACACAAAACTGTGTGTTTGTTTGTTTGTTTGTTTTAACCCCCCTGTGTGGCACCATTCCAGGAAGCATATTCATCAAACTCTGACTTTAAAAACAAACAATAAGTTGATTAACTCTGAAATTGGCAACTCTGTGTCTTCTGTTCCAGAACAGCTGATCAGAGTTAGTTCAGTCAAATCTGAATATGTTCACCCGATGCATGAGCAGAGAAAAAAGCAATCATCAGTGGATCCCCAATACTGCAATTCAACATGCCAATGGGTAAAAAAATAGCAGACCATTCATTTTAATACCGAGGACCAAGAAATAAGATATGACAAGAGATTGATATTCACAATATGAATGTCAATCTTTAAAAACAGAAAAGAAGACAACAGTATATTTTTTTTTTCTTAATCCTATCCTGTCTGGCAGCTTTTGCAATCAATGTCATGTCCTCAACAGCTGACCTGTCCTAAGTGGCTCAGTGCAGGGAGTGAGCACTGCTGTAAATAAGTCATTTTGGATTAATCTTGCACTACGGATCGGGAGGAGAGCACTGCACAAGAGTCGGGAATTTTGCCACGGAAGAAATCGCACTGTTTGTTCTAACACTGTAAATAAATTCACTGCCACAACCAGGAAAGTCCTGCATTTGGGTCCAGTTCCTAACTAAATGTGATAAACTGTTGTTCCAAACACATTTTGGTTTTTCAAGATCAGCTCTATAAATTTGCTATGGGCGCTTCCTTTTCAGGGTTTATCTGTTTATTTTGTCACTTTTATCCATGTTATTTCAATTATTACATTGTATATGGTACACAATATGACAATGTCTAAGACAGGACAGCCGGGCAGGGGAGGGGGACCTAATAAAAGGAAAGAGTACAAATAGAATTGCACAATGTATCACCGACTGCCACACCGGTAAGAAAAATGAACATACAGCACCTGGAACACAAAAATTCAAAAAATGCACCTATACTTGGTACTAACTGAATGAATGTGGAAGCAGTCATGTTAAGTACACAAAATAGCAAACTAATTCAAGTCTAGGATTTCAGTTCTTGTTAAAACATAAACTTCTGCAAATTACCGTAATTGTCGGGCTATAAGCCGCTACTTTTTGCACAAGCTTTGAACCCTGCGGCTTTTAGTCAGGTGCGGCTTTTCTATGGATTGTCCATGATTTTTGTGGTATCGTAAGACGATTTGTTTTGTTTGTTCCACTGTTGTACGGCACTACGTTGCCTGATCGGGGTTCAAGAGTGGTATGTTGGTCACATGTCCGTCCGCCAGGCAACGTAGTGCCGTACGAAGTAGCGCAAAAAAACAAACTTCAAAGTAGCGCTACGCGTTCAGCGGGAGGCGTGGATGATGAGCGGCGATAAACTTGCGAAAAGCAAGTTATGCCCAACTCCACCACTGGATTCTGACAGCGTGGAAAAGTGTGAAAACATCCACGATCACCAACGGATTTCGAAGGGCTGGACTGCTGCATGATGGAGAGGAGGACACCGCCACGGCCCTTCTGAGGGTGTTCGACTCTGACACTAACAACGAGGATTTGTTTGGTTTTGAAAGTGACAACGAAGGAGAGAAGCGGAGAGTGAATGATGAAGCCATCCTGAGCCTGTTCGTTTCCGACACTGGAGAAGAGGACTTTGGTGGTTTTAGTGTGCAGGAAGAAGAGAAAGATGGTGATGAATGACTGACTTTTCTTCTTGTTAAAGCCGTGTCACTGCACCTGAGCCTAAAAGGTAGGCCGAATCTATTTTTCTGGTGTGCTATAGGTTATTGTTATGTACTACATTTGTTACTCATTTATGAAGCACAGTACATGTTTCATACTTGTAATTACCGCTACTTGTACATATACCTAAAAAGTTATGCAAATATGTACCCATAACTTGTTTTTCAAAATATTAATAAAAGTGGTGTGTCTCCAAACAGCCATCTCTTTCCTGACAATTCGCTTTGTGCATATTCTCTTACATATGATAAGTCAACATTGAAACACCTGCGGCTTTTAGTCAGGTGCGGCTAATGTATGTACAAAACAGGATTTTCCCCTGATTTTAGCTTGTGCGGCTAATATTCGGGTGCGCTTTGTAGTCTGGTAAATAAGGTAATTCACTTGTCAATGCATCTTTATGAATGAGGAAATGAATGTGTCAGTCAGCTGGTTCAAGTCTAGAAGAAGGGGAGGAGTCAGAGAAACTCAGAGTTTATAGAAGAAAACCTGCCAGTGAGCAGGTTAGGTTTACAGAGACTGTCACCCCAGAAACCGACTAAGAGTTGAAGTTAACACTCTTTCTGGAACAGAAAACCCCAGTTTCACTTATTACAACTCAGAGCTGTTAGCTAACCCTGCTTCCTAGAACAGGACAGTACAGACACTAGATAATGCAGAAGATGGACTATAAGACAATCTATGGGTGCACCAACTCTTTGTGTAAGGTACAGATAGAAGAGAAACTACCAAACAAATCTCTTTGAGACTCAGAAGGAACTGATGCATACAGTTGGCCAAAATTGAAAGGAAAAAAAACCCTAAACAAAACAACAACACACATCCACAACACAAAAAAGGATCAGGCAATTGACAAAGGCAAGCAAACATCAATATCACAGCTTTTGTTAGTGATTTAAACTGTGAGTACATACAAACAAAAAAGTAAAATAGATTCACAATTTTAGAGTTCACAATCATTAATTATGACAGTAAATTATTAATAAACTAAAATGCATACACAAATAAGAAAAAAGACTTAATTTTTAATCAGAAATTATTATTTTTTATAATAATTATCAAGTTCAACACTGGAGATTATAGCAGGCTTTACTTACCCTGGTTTTCCTTAGCTTTTGCTTTATTGTGACGGTTGATCTCGGCATATGTTGGAATGTCTTCTATAATAAGAAAGGAGATTTGAGAATATATTTCTATCAGTGGCTCACTGGCTTACTAAGAATTTTGATTCCCTTGTAGTTGGAGCACACCCTCTGGCCCCCTTTCTTAGAAAGGGGAACCACCAACAGTGAGTGTCCCAGTTCAGAGGCAATGCCCCTGATGTCCATGCAATGTTGCAAAGGAATGTCAACGAAGACAGCCCTACAACATCCAGATCCTCAAGGAACTCAAGGTGAATCTCATCCATCTCCTGCTACCAAGGACCTGTTTAACTACTGACTCCGCCTCCAGTGATGGGTGAGTAATCCCCCTCGCCCCAGACTCAGCACATGATGATTTAATCTTTTTTTTTTTCTTTTTCTTTTGGGCCTTTAAATAAAGAGAATTGGGTGCACATGTTTTGTTTGGGATTTTCCCCAGTTTACACAAATGTGTACATATGGGGTCAAAAGTATACATACACTCTTACAAATAATTTGGTAAGAGGTCCTTCAGCAAGTTGCACCTTGATCAAGTGCTTTGGGTCACAATAAGCAAGCTTCTGGATTAATTTTTGAGATCAAGCTTTGGGAAAGCCATTCCAAAGGTTTACTTTTAGCCTGCTTTATCGATTAAAAAAATAACTTTGATCTGTGGTTGTTATCATTGTCCTGTTGAAACACTCAGTTGTGCCCAAGTTTAAACCCTCTAGCTACTGAGTAAGGGTGAAGTTTAAGAATTTAGAGGTAGTCCTCCTTTCATTATTCTAACCACTTCCAGACCTTGGCAAGGTGGTGAGAAATTTGAATAACTTGTACTTACATACAGTTGTTTAGGACTGTCCCATTGGAAAGTTCATTCCCGAAGCTCAAAGTTCTGACATTAGCCAATTGAAAATATGTTGACTTCACTTAACTGGTCAAAAGAAATTAATAAAAGCTGAGAACTACATGATACTCATGCCCTTGATGAGTGTATGTAAACTTTTGACCACAGCTATATGTGTATGTGTATATATACATGTATGTATGTTTATATGTATGTGATTAAATGTGAATGCACTTCTATAACTTATAGATTTTTATATAGACTTATATATTATTACCGAGACTGCTTTCTAATCTGACTTCGGAGTAAAGTTCCTCATTAGATGCTGCAGGACTTGATTTTCTGTGAATGGAGAGAAGATCATTTAAAGCACTGATCTGCAGTGTTATGATTACCAATTATAATGTACTTGAAAGGAAGACAATTGATATCTCTACTAAGGAAAAGAAAGAAGGAGTATGATAGCATCAACTGATTTACAAATCTTGATGTAAACTGTGACTACAGACATAAAAATGCATAAAAAGATTTATATTTTCAAGAAAAGATAAGCATATTGAAAAATATTCAGTGGGACTGATGACAGATGTTGCCAGTTAATTCCTTTCTTTACTTTTTTGGGTGGTGTGTGACCTTAACATAAATCAGACTCATATTAAAAAAAAAAAAAAAGTCAGATTTTTTTCATCCAAAATGTGATACAGAGCTGTTGAATTAATAACAGATTCAGAGGTGGACTAAAACTATTTTTAAGACACTGAAAAGAAAATCAGCTTTTTGTCACTGACACCGCAGCTAATGCGTGCTTATTGATTTTATATATAAGATAAAACAATGTAACAAAAGATTTCTTTGTTGTAAAAATAATTCTCAGCAATAAATATTATACCATTGTGAATCCTGTTTATTTCTCCTTTAATGGTGTCACATTTGTAAGGAAAATGTATTTGTGAGTTGAGCAGCAGCAGAGCTGGGGTGGCGTAGCTCAGGTGGTGGAGCGGGTCACCTACTCACCGGAAGGTTGGTGGTTTGATCCCAGGCTCCTTTAGTCTACATGCCAAATATCCTTGGGCAAGATATTAACCCCATTTTGCCCTCCGATGCATCCATCGGAGTGTGAATGCGAGTGAATGTTTGATAGAAACACTAAAAACCTTAGATAACGCGCTTGTATGATTGGGTTAGAATGCAGCTTAGAATGCACGAGTTGTATAAAGCGCTTTCAGTGCTCAGTGAGAGTAGAAAAGTGCTACATAAGAACCAGTCCATTTACCATATAGTTGAGTATGTGGCCTG